CACAGAAAGGTGGCTCATAAACCTCCCCAGATTACTAATAAGCTCAATAACAATCGAATCAACACATCCTTCTCCAATACTCGCACCATTATAGAAAAAATAAACTCTGTACTTGTAAGGTCTAAAATTGGTGTTCTTGACACCAAATTCAGCATTCATTATAATGTTGAATGAAGAGTTTTCTGCATTTTTGGACAACACATCAAAAGTAGCGGACCAGACCGGATGTGAAACTTGGAAGTTCTGACTTTCATTATGTACAATGAAGAGAAGAGAGTGATTGCAATTTGAAACAGAGTAGAGAGTGCAACAAAAATTAAGAATTTCTTGCGTTTCTTTTTGCTCAGCTCTTTGGATTGTATGGAGTTGGCTGATTCTTCAGCTTGCTTTGCATGTCCGTTAATCTGAAGTTGATGTTCCCCTTCTACTGCCATTTAGTTTCAAGTCAAATTTTATTTCAAAAACTTCAGCTTATATAGTGCTGAAGTTTTTACAAATGAACTAAATAACTTCAGCATCTTCTGCTGAAGTTTTTGAAAAAGCTTATCTAGGACAAAAAGACTTCAGCGTATTTAGTGCTGAAGTTTTTACAAATGAACTAAATAACTTCAGCATCACAAAACTCAGCTACTAGAATGCTTAAGTTCAGCAAATAGAGAACAAAACTTCAGCACTAGAATGCTTAAGTTCAGCAAATAGAGAACAAAACTTCAGCACTAGAATGCTTAAGTTCAGCAATTACAAACAAAAACAAGTTCATCAAATAGAGAACAAAACTTCAGCACTAGAATGCTTAAGTTCAGCAAATAGAGAACAAAATTTCAGCACTAGAATGCTTAAGTTCAGCAATTACAAACAAAAACTTCAGCACACTTGGTCTACTTCAAACCCGGCTACTAAAATGCTAAAGTTTTGCGTGATTGCCTTTGCTACTTCAGCCCCGTATGCTGAAGTACCGCGAAAAAGTGGGTACACTTGTAACTTTTTTTGCAAAGCGGGCACAAGTTAAAACGTGACCCAAAAAGCGGGTATAGATGCAAATATACACACAAAAAAGTTATTTTTTCGTCCAACGTTCGATATACGCATTGGACCCTAAGTCCTAACTGATCCAATTTGTACTGTATAAAGCCCATTAAAAAAGGGGAGCGTTCCGTATCAAAATTCTTTTGTATTCTCAGGGCTCTAACCCGAAGTTTTTGGTTAAAAATGATGTGATACTATTCATTACACCCTTAGTGGTCCCAAAGTAAGTCATAGCTCTAACAAAAAAGAAAAGAACAAAGAAGGTCTTAATATATATAGTTCAAGTCCTACTTCTCTTTTAATTGATTGTATATGGTGGCTAAATTTAATTCGTAGGAGAAGGAAACATCATCTTTTCCCTATTGTTTGGCTTACCTTATCAATATCTCCGTTACATAGTCCCCGAACAGGGCTCTATACAACGGCGACGTCAGAAAATTCAATAAGATTATTAAAATTTCGAACATCATTTGTTTGTGGGTTGTGCAAGGCAGAGGCAGATTTAGGATTTTAGTTCTGTGAGTTCGACATTTAAACTCATGAATTCATATCTACTATTTATTATACTTTTAGTAGTTTTTTACACATAAATTTATGCTCCACGCCGAAAGTATTTGATTCAGTTAAACCCGATAATTGTATGATGCATCCACCCCTAATGCAAGGTATCCAAAGTATATCTTTTATCAATAACGATTATATTTTATCTTATACATAATATAAGTTTTTGACAAAAAGTGTTAGGTTGACTAGCCTTGACCACACATAACTTCGCCCGGGCTCAATAACATTCATACTTGAAAATAGTCCACTGTAATGCTTTAGGTAAATATTGAGGAATGCAATACGATAAAAGACACCAAAGGGTGTGTTTGGTATGAAGGAAAACATTTCAAATTTAGCATTAGTATATTACATTTCAAATTTAGCATTTAAAAACAATGCTACACCATGTTGAGATCATTTAAATACATCTTTCTCAACTTCTGACTAACTATAATATATACAATATATCAATCTCAAACTATGACAAACTACAAAAAACGAGCATAGGAATAAAATATAAATAACACTTTTGTAGTCGTTAAAAGCCAGCCCTCTTTCGAATATTGATTGAATTAACCCGAGAAGAGATCTATTAGAACTTAGCATCTCACAAAAAATATGGAGTATAACTAAATTTCAAGGCTCTAAATTTAATTTTCCATAGCAAGAAATCCATGATACCGAAGAGAAACTTTGGAGCAACAGTTAAGTTGTTTACGTGTGACCTATAAGTCGTCGGTTCGACCGCTAATGCTTGTATCAGGGTAGGTTGCCAACATCACACCTCAAAATTCGGCCCTGCCTCGAACCTTGCATAAACGCGTGATGCTTTGTGCACCAACTACCCTTATAGCAAGAAATCCATGAATTTGAGCCATGGCAGAGGTATCTTGTTAGATGTATCTGCTTGTATTCCACAGCTTAAAGACGACGTCGTTGCGCCAACGTTTTTCGGACACATAAAAAAGTTTCTTGACCCCAAAGCGGTGAGCTTCTCCTTCCTGTCCAAACCTGAACCCATCATTCAAAGATAACAATAATATATCAATATTTCGTAATTTGATTTTTAAATAATTTTAATACACTCATTGTAGAAAGAATCTACTAGCATAATTTATACTTTTTTCCAGAAATAATTATAAGTAATTGTTTTAAGAAACTAACCTTGTCGCTTAGAAACTAAAAATATTACTTTATCCGTCTCAATTTATACGAAGGTGTTTGAATTTTGAGAGTAAAACGAGTTGTTCTTTGACCGGTAATTTTTTATATGACTTTTAGATATTAATGAATTATTGTATAATATTATTTACATAGTTTCTAGATATATAAATTTTATTTCAAAAACTTAAAAAGTCTGTGTACAATTACATAATCAAAGTTAAATAGTTTGAATATCCAAAAGCAAAAAGTGCCACATAAATTGAAAGAGAGGGAGTAAATGTTAGTTAAATTTCAATAATATTATGAAATTTATTTTGTACTACCGGTATTATAATTCCTGAGCTTAAATTACCCTAAAATCGTGAAAAGAATGAATATATTATACTACTAGATCATATGTGTACTAGATAGGATAAATATCTTAGTAAAATTAAATTTTATTTGTTATATGCTCATCCGTTTAATTTTATGTCTCTCTATTTTACTTTTAGTCTATTAAACAAAAAAAAAAATATTTGAAAATAAGTTTATTTTTAAATTTTTATTTTACTTTTAATAATAATCACAATTTAAAAAAAAGTTTCATAAAATTGGTATACAGTCAAATTACACTCCTAAAATTAAAATTGAGTAAATAATTTGGAAAACAGAAATAACAATACTTTGCAAAAATATTTTTCAGTGAGATGAAGGGCGAATAACTGGAATTCAAAAAGATGAACTGGCTCTTACTTTCTAAACTGAACTGCGAGTAATGAAGATCGTAATCAGCGGCGTCACCGGAGGAAATCACCGGTCGTCTTCCTTCCTTCGAGTACTGCCGTAGTGCGGCGGCGATGAGATCGTCTACAGTCGATTCCAACGATATCAGTACCTGTACAGGTCCAACACTCCTTTGAATCGTCACGTTCACCAGCATCTTCGTCAACTTCCTCGGCCGGAAATTCATCGCCGTCGAGTCACCGGCGGAAGTTCTAACACCGGCGAGCAAGTTCGGCACCGTTCTCGGCCTTCGCAATAGCTCCGAGGATGAGCTGCTGCTCCCTGAGCTTTGTCCGTGAAACGACATGGATTTTTCCGATAACTTTCCTTTTCGATTCTTCTCTTCATTACCTCTCCGGTTAATTCTCGGAGACGGCATTTATAAACTTGCAAAGAGGAATGAGGAAAATGGCGGCGAGACTTATGTGTATTTATATCAGAATAAGTACTCTTAAGGGGTATAAATGGAAATGAAGATAAAGAATAAGACAGGTGATTAGTTTATTTCCTAATTGGTTGAATTATTTATTCAAAATTATTAATTACGAGATTAGTTATATTACGATTGTACTTTTATTTTTATACCGACTTTAATCTGGTATAACAATTCGGGAATAAAACACCGAAATAATTCTCCAAGACTCTTTTCTCAAAGCTCTGTTAAAAAAATTTAAGGTTTTAATTGGAAATAAAGATTTATCTCTTCTTATCAAGTATAAAATTAAACTATTATTTAATGAATTAAATATTAACTAATAAGAATATATTCATGAAATTAATCACCAATTATTTAATTTTTATATTCTAATCTTATTATTATAATTCTTGTAAACTTGTTCACCAATCAAACACTAAAGTACGCAGAGATGGATTTAGAATTTTAGTTTTACGGGTTCAGCATTTAAAGTTATGGATTCTTATTTACTGTTTATTGTAAATCTAGTAATTTTTTACACGTAAATATATATTTCGCGTTGAAAGAATTGGATTTATTGGATTCGGTGGTTCTATGGTGCATCCGCCCGATACGTACGCTAATCTATAACCGAATATGTCAGTCATATAAGATGAGAAATCTGCTTAATACAGCAATAAGGGTCGTGGTGTAGTTGCCGGTTGCCTGTTGGTATAACTGTATCTTAACGACAAATTGTTTTCATTATTTTCAGCGCCTTAACAATAATTGCGAAACCAGATTACAGGTTTGAATCGTAAAAACAGTCTCTTGTAGAAATATAGGATAAGGCTGTATACGATAGAGTGAAGCGGGAGTTTAGTCACTCACTCCTTCCCCGAATCCTGTTCATAGCGTGGGTTTAATGTACCAGATTGTTTTTCTTTTTTAACAATAATTGCAAAACAAAACATTTTAAATGCCACGTGAGAGATGTCGGCAGTATTTAAAACAGTTAGGCAAAGGTTCACTTTAGCATTGGCTTTTGTCGTCCACTCTTTTAGTGACAAGTTGCAGTGGCAGTTACTTGTGAGCTTCATCTCATTTTAGCCCTTGACTTTTTTTTTTTTTCATTCGGTGTCTGGTACCTATATTGGGCCCGATTAAATCGAGATTCATCTCATTTTAGCCCTTGGCTGTCACTGCGTTCATTGAGCCACTTTCGTCCAAAGGGTATCAATAACAACGATATTTATTTATCGAAAAATTATTTTCTTTTATTTAAAAAATAAATAAAATTTTAGTTTATTTATTTAAACTTGAAAATAAGATAACTTTAAATGACTATGTCACTACGTTCATTGGCGGAGCCAATTTTGTCGGAAATGTATGAA